CTCCCTCCCGGCCAGGACGGGTTCGCTAGCACAGAATCCCGAAGCCCTGGAAGGCAGCAGTTCTGGAAGCCACGAGAAAAGGCTTGTTTACATTTTTCTCTGGGGCTGAAACCTGGCTATTTAAACTTCAACCAGAGGCAATTATAAGACCCTGGTGAGCAGCCTTCGCAGCAAGGGGAACCAGATGCCGACAGCGAGGCTTGGAAGGAGGACAGACAGACACGGGTGGGAAGCAAAGGTGCCACCTAGGCACCCAGAGTTAGTGCAGGGAGAGGGGGCAGAGGAGGCAGCAGGGTTGGGGTTGCCATCCCCCCCCCCCCCCCCCCAAGCACAGCCAACCAAGGCTCCCCTGTCTTTTTCCCTTCTTGGATCAGAAGTGCAATGACCTAGAGAAACACCCGGCTCTCTTCCCAGCAGGCCAAGTCTCCTCTTGGATTCAGGTATTCCTGGCGAAGACCCCACCCTACTCCTCCAAGCCTGGATGAGCGGGCCCAGTGACGTCAGAGGAAACGCCCCCTTTACAAAGGACCCCGCTCCAGTAGCCCTTAAACAGAATTCAGGTGCACTGATCTGCAAGTGCCGCGTGGTCTACGGAGCCCCCGGGGCTGTGCCCCACAGATGTATGTTGGAAATCCCATCAACAAGCTGATGGTATGGGTAGTGCGGTCTTCGGGGAGTGATTAGGTTACACGGGGCCAAGCCATCAAAAGCGGAAAGTGGGGCCCACATTGTTAAACTGCCGCTTTGCAACGGTGGCATCCCGAATCAGAGTGCTGCTTCCAGTCCACTTCCACTCCGGCTCCCTGCTGATGTGCCAGGGAGGGCAGCAGACGAGGGCCCGCACTCCTGGGCCCCGGCCACCTGGGTGGGAGATCTGGATGGAGCTCCAGGCTCCCGGCTTCAGCCTGGCCCAGCCCCTGCCATTTGTGGCCATTTGGGGAGTGAACCAGAGGATGGAAGACCTCTCTCTCCCTCTTCTCTCTCTCCTCCCTCTCTCTGCTACTCTTTCAAATAAACAAAATAAATCTTTGAAAAAATCATGGAAAATGGAATTAAAAAATAAGTTTAAAAAAAAAGGCAAAGGACGAGATTAGCCTGCTTGTAAAAGAGTCCCCTGGGGCTGCCTTCCCTCCATCCACCTGTGCAGACATAGCAAGAAGACGGCGTCTGCGACCCTCAGCACACGCTGAATCCAACAGTGACTTCATGTTGCACCTGCCAACCTGCAGGCCGCTGAGCAAGACGTTCCTACTGTCACGGGGCACCTGCTTTATGGCATTTTTCTGACCAGCCCAATGGGCAAAGATACCAGCTCCTCCAGTCTCTCTTATGTCAAGGAGTCCGGCCTCTATCTTACAGAATTTTATTCCTTTGAACTCCATGGTTTTTTTTTTTTTTTTAAGATGTATTTATGTTTTTATTTGAAAAACAAAGTGGCAGAGCGGGAAAGACACAGAGAGAGGGGAAGAGAGAGAAAGGGAGATCTTCCATCTGCTGGTTTACTCCCTAGCACTCTGGGTTCAGGTTTGCCTGGCAAAGACCCAAGCAAGCCATCTGGGGCACAGGTGCGGAGTCCTGAGGAAGGTGTGAGGTTCAGGGCCGTAGCTATGGGTTTCCAGAGTGAAGACGCCAACATCAAGGGCTTCTCTCAAGATCAGCGTGCCACCCTCCCTGGAAGGTCCGTCCTACAGCTCTGAACTGCCTCCTGACTCCAGCCAAGCACCTAAAAGATTCATGACCCTGGTCACAAGAGCTGGGCGTGGAAGGCTCCCTGCAACCTTACCTGACTGGTGACAGATCCCGAGGTACTGCCCTTGCTGATATTGGGCTGGGCAAATAATAGTGTTTGGTACACACTGAAATTTTCTTTCTTTGCCTTCCTTATGCCCTGATCCCTACAGGCAAAGGTCAGATTCTGGAGGCTTCCACGGGAGACAGCCTGAGTGCATGGCTGCTAGGAGACATCCCACGAGCTGCCCAGGAGCTTCAGGGAGACCCCCACGGTGTCCAACACCCAGCAGAGGCGTTGGACCTGGGGAAGTGAGTCTGTAAAATCAGGCATGAACTCTCCAAAGGCAGTTCTGGGGAACTGGATGTAAACCAGAGAGGCTTGGGGTGGGTGCTCAGTGCAGTGGTTAACTTGCCTGCGTCCCGAACCAGAGTGCCTGGCTGGAGTCCTGATTTGCACCCTGGAAGGCAGCAGGTGGTGGCCCAAGAACTTGGGTCCCTGCCACCTGTGGGAGACTGAGGTTGACCTCCAGGTTCCTGGCTTTGGCCTGGCCCAGCTCTGGCTGGGGAGTGAACCAGCAGATCAGCGGATGCACGATCTCTTTCTCTGTCCATCTCTGTCTTGACTTCCAAATAAAAAGTGAAAACATGAATAAGTAAGTTTTTAAAAATATAAAGCAGAGAGGCAGTGCAGAGCAGTGGAGAGCAGTGGTTGGAAGCATGGATTCAGGGGCTGGCTTTGTGGTGTAGTGGGTAAAGCTGCTGCCTGCAGTGCTGGCATCCCTTATGGGCGTCAGTTGCTCCACTTTTTTTTTTTTTTTTAACAGGCAGAGTGGACAGTGAAAGAGCGAGACAGAGAGAAAGGTCTTCCTTTTTGCCGTTGGTTCACCCTCCAATGGCCGCCGTGGCCGGTGCACTGTGCTGACCCAAAGCCAGGAGCCAGGTGCTTCTCCTGATCTCCCATGGGGTGCAGGGCCCAAGCACTTGGGCCATCCTCCATTGCACTCCCTGGCCACAGCAGAGAGCTGGCCTGGAAGAGGGGCAACTGGGACAGAATCCGGTGCCCCGACTGGGACTAGAACCCGGTGTGCCGGCGCCACAAGGCAGAGGATTAGCCTAGTGAGCCACGGCGCCGGCTGCTCCATTTCTGATCCAGCTCCCTGCTAATGCTTCTGGGCAGTGGAAGATGGCCCAAGTGCTTGCGCCCCTGCACACATGTGGGAGACCTGCATGAAGCTCCTGGCTTCAGCCTGGCCCAGCCCTGGCCATTGCAGCCATTTGGGGGAGTGAACCAGCAGATGGAAGATCTTTCTGTCTATCTCTCCCCATCCCACTCTGTAATCTGCCTTTCAAATAAATAAAATCAATCTTTAAAAAAAAAAAAAAAGCAAAAGCCATCAATTCAGGTGGCCAGCATGGTGGCATAATAGGTTAAGCCAACATACGCAATACCAGGTCAAGTCCCGGCTGCTCCACTTGCAATCCAGCTCCCCGCTGATGCTCCTGGGAAAGCAGTGGAGCATGGCCCAGGTGTTTGGAACCCTGGACCCACGTGGGAAACTGGAAGAAGCTCTTGGCTCCTGGCTTCAGCCTGGCCCAGCCTTTGCCATTGCAGCTCTTTGAGGAGTGAACCAGCAGATGGAAGACCTCTCTCCTTTTCTTTCTCTGTAGCTCTGCCTTTCAAATAAAAATAAATAAATAAAAAGCATGGATGCAGGAGCAGGTTGGGAGATGTTAGCAGTGTTACTTAACCTCTCTGGGCCATGGTTTCCTTATCCACAAAACTCAGATAATAGTTCTTCCCACCTCACGGGGTTTTTGAGTTAATATTTAAAGGATGAAATGAGTTAATATTTTAAAGCCCTTAGAACAGTGCATCATATAGCAAGAACATTTAAGTGTTACATTTAAAAGGTAATGTTGGGTGGGGTGGCGCTGTGGCATAGCGGGTAAAGCCACCTCCTGCAGTGCTGGCATCCCATAAGGGCGCTGGTTCGAGTCCCAGCTGCTCCACTTCTGTTTCAGATCTCTGCTATGGCCTGGGAAAGCAGTGGAGGATGGCCCAAGTCCTTGGGCCCCTGCACCAGCATGGGAGACCTGGAGGAAGTTCTTGGCTCCTGGCTTAGGATCAGCCCAGCTTCATCTGTTGCGGCCATTTGGGGAGTGAACCAGCAGATGGAAGGCCTCTCTCTCCACTCTCCCCGACCCCCCGACTGTAACTCTGCCTTTCAAATAAAATAAAATAAACCTTTTTTTTTTTAAAAAAAAAAAAAAGGTAATGTGGGTGCAGGTTTTAGTCAAGCAGTTGACACCTGATTCCTGCATCGGAATACCTGGGTTCAGATTCTGGCTCTGTTCCCAATTCCTGCTTCCTTTCAGTGCAACCCTGTCAGGTAGTTGCATCCCTGCTACCCAGGTGGATAGAGTTCCTGGCTCCTGGTTTCAGCTTGGCCCAGGCCTGTCCATTGTGGACATCTGGGGAGTAAACCAGCAGATGGGAGCTCACACTGTCTCTGTCTGTTTGTCTCTCTGCCTTTCAAATTAATTCTTTAAAAAAGTCAAATCTCCAGCTCCACGAAATTTGGTTAGTTCTATGAGTGACCCATGTTCCTAAGGCTTTTGCTTGGTTCTGGTCCACAATTCCCCTCCTACCATACCAGCATGAGAAGGTAGCAGAAAAATACCCTAAGACTGAATCCTAGCAGTGTGCATGCCCAGGGTCCCAGCCATGCAAAACCAACAATGGAGAGCTCTGCTTGGTGCCTGGGCCACCAATGGGAAGCTCTCCATTCGAATCCCTCGGATCTTGGCCAGGCAACACACCAGTGTGGTCAGCAAACGCCACACTTCGGCGTCCCTCACTGGCATCCTGCACCAAGGCAGTGCGACAGAACACAAGAAGAGCCATAATTAAGAAAGGGGGCCGGCGCCACGGCTCACTAGGCTAATCCTCCGCCTAGCGGCGCCGGCACACCGGGTTCTAGTCCCGGTCGGGGCGCCGGATTCTGTCCCGGTTGCCCCTCTTCCAGGCCAGCTCTCTGCTGTGGCCCAGGAGTGCAGTGGAGGATGGCCCAGGTGCTTGGGCCCTGCACCCCATGGGAGACCAGGAAAAGCACCTGGCTCCTGGCTCCTGCCATCGGATCAGCGCGGTGCGCCGGCTGCAGCGCGCCGGCCGCGGCGGCCATTGGAGAGTGAACCAACGGCAAAGGAAGACCTTTCTCTCTGTCTCTCTCTCTCACTGTCCACTCTGCCTGTAAAAAAAAAAAAAAAAAGGGATGAGGGGCAGGGAAGCCAGCAGGTGGCAGGAGGAAGGGAACATCAGGGCAGGAGGAAACCAAACACCCAAAGGAAAAAGTAGAAAAGCCCAGGACTAGGAAACTTTTTCTATTTTTGACCAAGTGAAACAAACAAACAAACAAACAAACACAAGCAAATAAGCCTGGGGACCAGGATCAGACAGACAAGTTCCAGAACTGCAAACGCTGTGGGTTACTTCCCCCTTCCTGCAGCCAGGGCCTGGGAGCCCTTTGTATCTTGACCCAATAATGACTTCATTCCACAGACTTCCTTCCACATTTTTTTTCTTTCAAAGCCCATGGAAATTCTGTTTTAGGAAGTAGGAACAGGATCTAGGTTTAGGAAATATAAATGCAAAAAGGGCTCAGACAAGCCTACTTGAGATGCAAACAATAGTTGGTGTGACCAGGACAAATATCAAATCACAAATATTTGAGACGTTTCCCCTCTGCGCCCAGGGGAGAAGTGCTGTTTGCTGAACCAGCTCCCGGAAGGACTTGGCCTGTGTCCTGCCATGCAGGGTGGTGGACAGGAGGCAGCCACAAAGGGAAAGCACAATACTGGTCAAGTGCATACCATGCGCCAGACCTTCTGCTGGAAGCCAGGAAGTCAAGAGTGAATGAAACAAGCCCCTGTTTTCAGAAAGCTAACATTATTTTTTTTAATTGTGGTAAAATAAAATTTATCATTGGATCCATTTTTTATTTATAATTTTTATTTATTTGATAGGCAGAACAATACACAGAGAGACAGACGAAGATTTTCCATCAGCTGGTTTGCTCTTCAAATACCCACGACAGCCTGGGCCGGGTCAGTAGCCAGGAACTCCATCCAGGTCTCCCACGTGGGTGGCAGGGACCCAGGTACTTGCGCCATCACCTGCTGCCTCTGAACAGGCGCATTAGCAGAAAACTGGAATTGAGAACAAAGCTAGAACTCGGACCCAGGCACTGTGCTATCCCGAACAGCCTCTTAGCTGCTGGGCCATGTGCCCACGGCACCATCTCAGCCCTTTTTAAGTGTCCTTCACCAGTTTCTAAGTAGAGTGATACTGTTGCACACCAAGCTCCACAAATTTCCCATCTTGCAAAACTGAAACTCTATGTATCTTAAACACCTCCCTTTTCCTTTTCCTCGTCCAGCCCCTAGCACCACCATTCTACTTTTGGTCAAGCAGAATCGTGCGATATTTGTCTTTTTGTGACCAGTCTATTTCACTTAGCATGATGACCTCAAGGTCCATCCATGTTGTCGTGTGTATCAGAATCCCCTTCATTTCTGAAGATGAACACTGCGCCATCGTATGTGCAAGTGTACATCACGCTTTCTCGATCGACTCACTCGTCAGCTGACATTTGGGTTGCTTCCACCTCTTGACCACTGTGAATGATGCTGCTATGATTGTGAGTGTACAATACCTCTTCAGATTCATCCTCTTTAAGGAGCCCATCCCACCAAATTTGCATTTTTTTCACTATTATTTTATTTGTTTAAAAGGCAGAGAGACAGACACACAGAGAGAGCGATCTCCCACCTGATTGGCTCTCTGATGCCCACAACAACTGGGTCTGGGCCAGGTTGAAGCCATGAGATGAAAACTCAGTCCAGGGTCTCCCAAGTGGGTGGCGGAGACCTGAGGACTTGAGCCATCACTGCTGCCTCTGAGGGAGCACACGGAAGGAAGCTGGAGTTGGGAGTGCAGCCAGGGCTCAAGCCCAGGTACCCCAGCGTGGGATGTGAGCGTCCCAAGTGCATCTTTTTTTTTTTTTTTTTGACAGGCAGAGTGGACAGTGAGAGAGAGAGACAGAGAGAAAGGTCTTCCTTTTGCCGTTGGTTCACCTGCAATGGCCGCCACGGCTGGCACACCGCACTGATCCGAAGGCAGGAGCCAGGTGCTTCTCTTGGTCTCCCATGGGGTGCAGGGCCCAAGCACTTGGGCCATCCTCCACTGCACTCCCTGGCCACAGCAGAGAGCTGGCCTGGAAGAGAGGCAACAGGGACAGAATCCGGCGCCCCGACCGGGACTAGAACCTGGTGTGCTGGCACCACAAGGCGGAGGATTAGCCTAGTGAGCCGCGGTGCCGGCCCCAAGTGCATCTTAACCCCTGTGCAAATGCTCACCCATATTTACATGATGTGTTAGCCCAGTAGTTGGCCCAACTAGATGTTTAGCTGTACAGGAACCTGGGTTATCTGTCTTCATATCTTCATTTCATTTACAGGGTGGGCCTATAGTAGAATCTCAATAAATATTTATTGAACTAAATAATTTATTTCTATACTTCTTAGTCACTACCTTCACAGCTGGATATTTTGCATATTTTAATAAATAAGTTTTGCAATTTTAATGAGTGCTATTTTGATTCAATTTCCATACTAAACTAGTTTATATAAGGTGGCTGGTATCACAAATATCTAAATCTTAATCAACACTCACTCTCCAGATGAAATGCCATTGACAATTCATTCCTACTCTTTTTACTTAAGATCTTTCTTATTAAAGATTTATTTATTTATTTGAAAGACAGAGTTACAGAGAGAGAGGGAGAGACACAGAGAGAAAGAGATTCTGTCTGCTGGTTCACCCTTCAAATGGCTACAACGGTCGGGGGTGGGCCTGGAACTCCATCCGGGTCTCCCATGTAGGTGGCAGGGGCTCAAGCACTTGGGCCATCTTCTACTGCTTTCCCAGCTGCATGAGCAGGGAGCTGGGTAGGAAGTGGAGCAGCCAGGACTCGAACCAGTGCTCATACGGGTGCCAGCATTACAGGTAGCGGCTTAACCTACTGTACCACAACACTGGCTCCTTTCCTTCTTTTCCACACATCATGGTGCTGCCTAGACCCCGAAGACACTCATCAGGGGTCTGCTCAGTTCATGGAGCATCCCGGAGAAACCACAGCAAGAGCTTGGTTTGCTCAGCTTCAAGACTCCATTGAGGGGCCGGCGCCGCAGCTCACTAGGCTAATCCTCCGCCTTGCGGCGCCGGCACACCGGGTTCTAGTCCCGGTCGGGGTGCCGGATTCTGTCCCGGTTGCCCCTCTTCCAGGCCAGCTCTCTGCTGTGGCCAGGGAGTGCAGTAGAGGATGGCCCAGGTGCTTGGGCCCTGCACCCCATGGGAGACCAGGATAAGTACCTGGCTCCTGCCATTGGATCAGCGCAGTGCGCCGGCAGCAGCGCGCCAGCCGCGGCGGCCATTGGAGGGTGAACCAACGGCTAAAAGGAAGACCTTCCTCTCTGTCTCTCTCTCTCTCTCTCACTGTCCACTCTGCCTGTCCAAGAAAAAAAAAAAGACTAAAAAAAAAAAGACTCCATTGAGGATTAATTTTCACAAGACACAGGCTCATCTCTGGAGGAACGCATAGCCTGTGGTTCTGCCTGGTTATTCTTGGCAGCAACTAAATAAGAGGCCTCCATTTCCTCAGGTGTAGAAAATAGTCCTTACTTCTCTGCCCCACGACCCAGATAGCAGGCACAGATAGAATCCTAGAGTTTACAAAGCACAGAGACCAAAAGCTGCCGTGAGAGTTCTGAGTGGCGCCGTATTTGATGATGGCTGCTGCACAAAGCACCAGCAGTGGGAGAAGCTGGCTCTGAAACCCTTATAAAACCAACATGGGAATAACAGTCTCTGCTCCAGGTTGCGTTGGGGTTGCTAAACACTTGAGGCACCTGCTCAGCTCTCATGGTTACCAACGTGTAAAACAGAAAAAGGAGCAGACACGGTTGGCCCTGAACATCAGCTTCCCTGAGGATACAAAGCAATGGCTGGGGCTGAAGATGTGAACCTATCAGGCCCCAGGTCTGAAAGGAGGTGGTGGGTGCCTGAATGGGGCTTCTGCGGGGTAAGGGAGACCAACAGAGCCCTGCCCCGGGTCATGGGACTGGCCAGGAAGCCAGCCCTGCGCCCAGGACTACAGGCTCGGCACACAGTCCCCACCTGGCCAGAGGAGAGGCCAGAGGGAAGGGCAGGGGACGAGACCACGAGTCCAGCACCTGCTGGCCTCCAGGACTGAATCTATGCCACCTCTGTTATCACAGGAGCAGGAAGAAACTCTCTGAACCTGGATGATACGATTATTGACGAAGAAAAACAAGCAGATTATGTGAAGACAATATGAGAAATAAGAAGCCGATTCAGCAAGGTTGATGGGTAAAAGATCAATGTGCAAAATTCCGCTGCAACTCTATCTCAATCTTTAATAGTGAGCAAAAGAAATTTTGCTTAATAGAAATAAGCAACACTCCATCTAAGAGTAAATATACATACGATGTGGATTTATGTGTATAAATAAGTTGTGAACTTTATGTATAAAGTATTTTTATAGAAGACATTCAAGAAGATTTGAGTAGAGACATGTACCATACTCATGAATTGGAACATTCATTACCATGTAGATGTCAGTTCCTTCAAAGCTAACATTTAATTTCCATGCAAACCCACTTTGAAAAATATCAACCCAGGAATCCAGCATTGTGGCATAGTGGGTTAGGCCACCACCTGTGGTACTAGCATCCCACATGGCTGCTGGTTCGAGTCCCAGCAGCTACTGCTAATGAACCTGTAAGGCAGTGAAAAGATAGCCCAAGTGCTTGGGCCCCTGCACCTGCCTGGGAGACCCAGATGGAGCTCCTGGCTTCAGATCTGCCCAGCTCTAGCCGTTATGGCCATTTGAGGAGTGAACCCTTGGATGGAAGACCTCTCCTCTCTGTCTCTCCCTTTCTCACTCTGTAATTCTACCTCTCAAATAAATAGAATAAATCTTTAAAGAAAAAGAGAAAAATACCAACCTAGGGAGTGGGGACTTAGCCCAGCAGGTCAGACGCCTGTGTCTCTCCTTAGAAGATGTGGGTTCAATTCCCTGCTCCAGCTCCTGACCGACCCCAGCTTCCTGCCAGTACAGACCTTGGGAGATAGTAGGTTCCTACCACCCACAGGGCAGACCTGCATAGCATTTCAGGAATGAATCAGGTAATGGGATTCTCTCTCTCTCTCTCTCTCTCTCTCTCTCTATATATATATATATATATATAATAAATATATATCTCCCTCCCTCTCTTTTTTTCTGCCTTTCAAATATATTTTTTTTAAGATTTATTTATTTGAAAGGTAGAGTTGCAGAGAGAGAGAGAGAGAATTAACCAGTTGGTTAATTCTCCAAATGGCTGCAATTGTGGCTCAGCAGGTTCATCTATAATGCTCACAACACCAGCATCCCATATTGGAGTGCTGGTTTGAGTCCCAACTACTCTGCGTCTGATCCAGATTCCTGCTAATGCACCTGGGAAGGCAGCTGAAGATGGCCCAAGTGCTTGGGTGTCTGCCTCCCGCAGGGGTGGCCTGGATGGAGCTCTGGGCCCCTGGAGTAAGCCTGACTCAGATCTGGCTTTTGTGGCCATCTGGGGAGTGAACCAGGAGATGGGACATCCCTGCCCCACCCTGTGTGTCTGTCTGTCTCTGTCTGTCTGTCTCTCTCTCTCTCTCTCTCTCTCTGTCACTCTGCCTCTCAAATAAGTAAATAAATCTTAAAAAGTACAACTTAGAGAGGCTTAAGCTGTAAGAGGTTTATTTCAGATCACAAGATGTCCAGCGATAGATCCTGGTTAACCAGGCCACGCGATGGCATCACAGGACCTAGGGCCCTTCTGTGTTTGCCCAGCCATTCTCAGGGTGCTGGTCTCCAATGTGTTCCCTCGGAGTGGCAAGATGGCTACCACATATCAGGCATCACATGCTCTTTCATCTTTGTGCAAGGAAGGAAGGACAAAGCTTCTGCTTATGCAGCTTTTTAGGGGAGAGGAGAACTTGCCCAGCCCATGCCATCCCCCACTCTAGCACAACGTCACTTGAATCCCCTTGGCCAGAGATGCTGCACACACACCCCTCCAGGCTGACCCCAGTCTCCGGCTGC